TAACCCACTAAGGTCAAGTCATGTACGTGCAACTCTAGTAGAAATTGTTAGAACTAGAGTTCAAAAAATCAGCACAATCACTTCAATTATTGGTAAAAAAATCACAACTTCAAAACAATTCAAAGGTACAACTACTAAAAACTCTTTCTAATCATTAACCCAGTCTCTGAACTTATCTAACTACTAATCATTTATTTCTGGCACGTATTTTCAATCAGCCCATATCGACGGCTAAACATTCTATTGCATCACGATTTAATGTTAATGTACTTGTCTTGAACATTTTGCTAATGGTTTCGATTATTAAAAATAATTGTTTGTGCAATTATCTGTTTGTCTAGGAGATCATTATTTAATTTGCATAGAATGGAGTTGTGCAAACTGTTTAGATAATAATTTATAATGCAATAGAAAAACACGTTATGCGTGTATTAATATTGTTCATTCGGATTCTTCATATTATTCACATACAATGCAACCTCGATCTCAAATGTAGTTTATACGACACATTTTGCAATATACATTTACTAATGAAATATAATGTTAGGCAAAATCTTTACTGCAAATTCACTTTCATTTTTCAGATAATTTTTTCACATGATTATTTTAAAACAATGCTTTTGGTGTTCACATAATAATTTCAGAATCGTGTAGCTCTTTATGATGACAGGGAAATATGATTGTATTTTTATACATTTATTTGCATTTCATTAAGTTGCAAGTTGTTTCACAAGGAAATGCGTATGCGTTGATTACGTTTATATTAACAGCAAGAATAACAACATTTTCTTAAGATTAATTAGATGAAAGCGAAATTTACATTACTTCAGCGTGAGTAATAATACTCAAGAACACGTCGTATTAATATTCTAAGAGTTTATGAAATAATAAATATGATATGATATTATCAATGTGATTTTATAATGGTAGAAAAGGTTATATGAAAAGTGAAAATATTATAGGATTGAAAATTAACTTTTGTATACTAATGCTAATTTGTAGTGGGTAGTCTAGACGCATGCGACATCAACTTTTGCCGTCATATTCTTTTCCAAGATTTTTAAAGAATCAGAATAAATACACTCCTGTTTTTGTGAATTTTAAAAATATCCCTTAGTATTATAAAATCTTTTATGAAATATAATATAGGTTAGAGCGGGCCTTAAAGGTCCGCGGGTAAAGAGGTCCACTACCGAAGTAAAGTTAAGATTTTTTGCGAATAATATTTTTTGGTTGTTGTTTGGTAAAGTCTAAGTTAACGTTTTTATGAAATATATCGTTATTTTTAAGTTAGATTCAATATTTTTTTGTAAAACTTCTATAAATGTTTACATGTGGGTAAGAAGGACCAACTAAACCTATACCCGGCTGCATGAAAATTAGTATAAAAAATGTAAATTAAGTAAAAATAAGCAATTTGCAAGAGATAGATTAAATAATTGGATATTGCAACTCTGCTGATGATTATTTCTAGTGAAATACCAGATCCGATCAAAAAATATACCCTAATTTTAAGACATTGCATCTATTTGCCATCTGGCTGTCCCATTTTACTCCGCCTATGGGGTAAAAAGAATCTGTTGACAATTTTTGATAAAAATAGCCAAAAAACACATTTCTACAATGATGAATAAGCTGAGAGTTTTACTGAACATAGTCGAATAGTTGTTTGTTCGATGTGTTATTTATTTTGGTATAATTAGATTAGTTTTTACAATACAATAGATCGGAGACAAATTGGACCTTTGTGTCCTACCGTATAACCTTTAATTATTATTTAATACATATGATTTTTTAAATCGGGAATCGGATCCATGGGATAAGATTTCTTTTAAGCAACTTATATATTGCCACTTAAACGTTAAGTTATCGTTTACACTTATGCATTCTAAAAATAATTAACGAACTATATTGAAAATTAATTTATCAGTTTAATGGAACTAGTTACCATTCAAAAAGTACAATATCTTTGTTATTCAACTTTCTAGAGTAGTAATACTAATATAGTAAAGTCTGGATAACAATAAGTGAATAACCTATATTTTGAAGTAGTAAATTAGAAACTTTCACTCTATCAACTAAAAGTATTTTCAGGAAGCAAGTTTAATCACTTTCGGGAGTAAATAAAATGCTTTAGGGATGAAATCAAATCTTTGGATTCTATGATTTTTTATTTTATTCTGAGGTTATATAATCTTATATTATCTTATATATCTATTAAAAATCATATCAAGTGTTAGGTGCTAATTGCAGAATTATATTTCATGATATTTCATGAAAGTCCTACCAATTTTTCCTTTATTTCATTTTTATTATTTCATTTGATTTTATAGATTTTTGCCAACTACTCTGATTGTTAATAAATATAATTTCATTAAACGAATAAAAGTAATGATTATTATTTATACCCTACGAATGTCATCTATAGACAAATTTTGCTTCTATCGATATCACTTTGAGTTACGTTATTGAAAATTTTAATTTGTTTTTGTGGGTTTTAATTGTTTAGGAAGTGCAATGTTTATTTTTAAATACATTTGGAAACAGTTGACAGGTCAATTGGTAGACAGGTAAACAGATAAATAGGTAGATGATAAATAAGTAGATAGATAAATAGGTAGATAGATAGATAAGTAGACAGATGATCAGGTTGGCAGGCATATTGGTAGAAAGGTAAACTAGTGGACAGGTAAATTGGAGGATATGTAAATGGAAGACAGGACAACTGGTAGATAGACGAGTCAAACAGGTTGACAGGTTAAATGGTAGACATGTAGAATGGTGTGAAAGGTAAATTTGTAAACAGGTTAATTAGTAGACATATACATTCTAACATTTGCTAATGATAATGATTAAATAAACAACTAGTGTAATAATTTGAAGTTAAAAACTTTCAAAATCATTTTTTTAGACTTGCTAAAGGTACACCTGCATTTAAGTACATGGTAAACCTGGTCACTAAACCCCTTGTAATTATTATAATCAATTATGGTTTGTTAAACAAATATTGACAAAAAATATAACAAATTATGCAATGAAATACAAAAAAGCCAGTCCTTTCCCAAAAAAATAGTTTTCAGAACCTCGAACAAGTTATAACATACAATATCCAATTTGGATCTTATAGCAGAACTAGTAACAATATTTTTGAATCAAGAGAACAATCGTTTGTTTGTTTTATATATATGCAAATATTAGTTGAAAACATTCCTAGACGTATATATTTATACGTTGAAAACCATTATTCTCTAGTTCGATTATACAAAAAAAATTTAGAATATCTAGAACTTGCTGTTGAATAAACTATTCTTTTTAGTTCATCCTCTAGTACACATTTAACAGTTTTCATCAATAATTTGATATTTTTGTATAAACTCTCTACAATTACTCATTATTTGGATTATTTTCACCATCCGATCCGCAAGTAAATATATTAATCAGTGTAAGACTGAAACAATAAGCATATTGTATGGAAAATAAGATACATATGTTTTCGAATGTATTATTAGAAAGACATCTGGAGAAAACTGCATCGATTGTTGTTTCATGTATTGTGGTTGGCACATTTCGGTTGTTATTCATTTGCAGTTCTAATTTATCTTGTAGAAAGTTTATAAACAAGTATCTATTTCTAAAGACAAAATTAATAATGGAATCTCCTGCTAGTTTTGTTCTAATTCTTGACGGTTTGTCCGACCATAAATCATAAGTCATTTATATAAAAGACTCATAATAATAATATTATTAACAATTACTAATTGCTGAGCAAAAAGTAAACGAATAGTTGTATTGGCAAGTTAAACGTGATTGTTTCATTTTTTTATATTTACTAATAAATTTATATCTTCTCAACTTCTATTTGCTTTGCGCGATCACTCTTTTCGTAACGTTCTCCTCACAAATTGGCTTAAAATGGAATTATTAGCTAACTGATCCGCAAATTTAAAACAATATTATTGCAATATTGACTATCTCAAAGGTGATTCACTTCTATGAATGAACTTGCTTAAAAAAACGGTAAGATATTTTCTAGTTGTTGCAAAGATCACGACGCGTTACGCAATGTAAATAACTGTTCTTAATCTGTTTGAAAGTAATTTGTTCGAGTAGCTCAAAAACTGTAGCCTCATTATTGAGATATTTATGGTGGCAACTGGTGGCAACATAGAAAAAATATACACCATAAAAATCTTATCATAGGATACTTTGCTTGCTTAATATAAACGCGCAATAAAATATTCAGATAAATTTCAAATTGCTGATCTTACAATCATGTTTCAGTAGTTAAATCAAATTAGCTAAGCCTATAGGTTGGTGGTGTATTTAGGTGCGTTGGCAATTTGCCTAAGCATTTTATTTTGGAACCTCTGTAAGATCTCTACATTTGAGTGGCTGGCGGTGCCCCAGAGCTGAATGCCATAGGTCCAAATGGGTTTAAGTATTGATTTGTATATCAAACTTTATTTGACATTGACACTTTAGGTTAAGTAATATTTAAAAATATATTTAGATTTAAATTAAAAATATAAGGTTTATCATGTACTTAAATGCAAGTGTGCCTTTAGTCGCAATTTTTAAATATTTGCCATTGATGTGAAATATGAATCGTTTTCATTAACTCTATGTTAAGATTGTTCAAGTTGCTGTTTTGTAGATAAATATTTAATTTCCTTTTTCATTTTTTTCAATTTGCCAAATTATAAAGTTTCATTTACCTCTTCATATTTGTCAAACATAATTTTGGTTATAAATTTAAATGATGAAACTTACTCATTAAATGAATCCAAAGCTTGAAACGATTTTCATGGCACTGTTTGAAAAATTTTAGAACTAATACATACATAATATTGCCTAAATATACCTTTGTAAAAAGTATTTAAAAAAATTATATCTATATAATTACAATCTGCCTGGTAAGTCAGATTTAGTAATTTGGATGACAAATGTGTAAATATAAGATTTTAAAATGCTACTTAGAGGTAGTCATTTTAGGTGTGAAAATGGGTGAGATAAAATTTCAGAATAGTAATAATAATTAATAAATGACGTGCAATTTATAGTTTTCTTGATAAAATACCATGATCAGATGTTCATGTTTTTCGTAAACCATAAATCTCTCATTTTATTAACTTCCCGTAGGGCAAGTTATAGTAATCGCAAAAAAATCGAAAATGAAAATGTTTATATATCTTTACGTTTCAGAGATTTCTGAACATTTTGGCATACCTTAGAAAAAATGGATGTATGTGTGTGTGTGTGTGTGTGTGTGTGTATGTATGTTTGTATGTATGTATGTATGTATGTATGTGCGTGTGTGTATGTATGTGCGGATACAAATTTTCGTCGACGATTTCGGGAACACGGATCAACCGATTTGAATAATTCAAAAAACATTCGATTCGTATTAATAAGGAGACGTGCTGATTAGTTTTTGGCGAAAGCAGGTCTAGCCGTTCCAAAGATACGGGGCAAAAAGTGCCGAGAACGGTAACTCAGTTTTTAAGAGAACGGAGCGTCCGATTTGAATATTTTAAAAAACATTTTACTTGTATTGACAGATAAAGAATTGATCAAATTTTCATGAAGGCAGGTCTAACGGTTTCGGAGATCTGATGAAAAAAGTAAAAAAAAATGCCATTTGGCGGTCAAAAATGATCATTAGACATATGCACATCAAATTATCAAATATTTATAGAGATTTTAACAATTAGTATAAATTTTTTTACATTTCTATGGGTTCCGTACCAATGTTTACGCGTTAGACGGCGACGCGGCGCTTACGGGCTTTGATATTTCGTCTTTATGCAGTTAAAGCAGTACGATTGCTCTGAAAAAAAGTTTAGATCTTCCAAAATTGTCAAAATAAAATAAAACATTTTTTTTTTTTTAAAAAAAATAAAAAAATTTTTTTTTTCAAAAAAAAGTAATTTTTTGTCCAATATATAGTTTCTCAAAAATCTTATTTTTTCAAAGTAAATTTTTTTCAAAAATCTTAATCGTTTTTAAAAAAAAAATTTTGGTACGGGAAGTTCCAGCAATTTGCCTTAAGGCACGATGCCTTAATTGCCTTAAGACAGAATTCCACTTACAGCTAGTTAAAATCTAAAGTCTAAACACATGATTAAAATGCTAAGTTCCAATAATTGCAGCTCTAAAAGCAATAATAATAATTTTACTCTTGTTGCATTTTATTTTATATCATTCCTATATACTAAGTATCCGAATGTTTTTATTATCTCGTTACCTTTGTTCTATATATTTTAATGATATTTATTGTACAGTTTTACAATATATTGTGCAAATCTTCTAGAAACATATTTATATATCATATCGACGTTACAAATTAACTACTGCATGTTTTTTACGACTCTATAAGAATTCAATGGCCAACGGGCATGGACAATTATACTTCTTCTAGACGAGACTAATAATCATGTAAGTTTACTATAACCTTGCGCTAATTTTATGTCTTAGGTATTTATTAAGTAATCAGGGGTGGACTCATCTAGTAAATAATAAATATATTTTTATCATTTTATCATTACATTGTCTTCTTATAATTAAGCTCAAATCCTATTGAAATGCGGAAAATTCGTCTCTTATATCATTTATGGATAACTTGATCAGTATTAATTATATATTATGCAAACTTGATTAAAGTTAAATAATCTACAGCTTAGTTTGAGCAAGAACCCCTAAACAAATCGGAATATATAAGTATTTAAAATTTAATATTTACGTATTAGGATTTAGGATAGGGTCCAAAAGGAAAGACATGTATGTTTATTCGAACAAGTTTCCATTATTGCTTGCATTAACAGATCTGTAGACCGCATTGCTTTTAAAGAGTCGAAAGTAAGTTTTCATGTTTGAACTATTTTAATAATAAATGTTAATCGTATATAGATCACTTTTTTGTTAATTTGCTGTAAGTTGATCATTAGTTACCAACAATTAGTTCTTGCTTAGATAATTTAGCTATGTCATAATGATAATTTGTTTTCAAAAGTGTGCGTTGGGTACGGTTGTGACATGTATTTTTTGTCCTTTTCAAGTGAAGATTTAACAGATAAAAAATCTAACACAAGTAACGAAAGAAAAGGAAAAATTCAATATGAGAAAAAAAAGATTTAACAATATGTTAATAAAATTTTAAGTATTGCTTATACACTTGATGATAACTAAATATTATCATTCGGATAATAATTGGTATGAATTAATAATAAAATGATTGAATCCAGTATAAGAACATTTTGCATATATTTTTGATATCATATTCATTTTGTTAAATGTGATACAGCCATATACTACAAAATCTTTAAAAAAATATAAGTAAAAATAATGCTAATATTAATTGTTTTTTATGAGATATGTAGGTCTTTTATATATGTAATGTAGATCCTTTAAGAATGTAATCAGATTCGCAATTGACATATTTTTTTAATGGAATAGAAATTCCCACAATCATAAGTGCTATTTTATATCAGATCTAGAAGTTAATTGATTGCAGGAACGCGCCGTTCAAGTCACTTGATACCTTCTCGATTAAGGTTAATATGTTCATATATATTCCATTCGCAATGACTTTCTCTGAATTCTGATTAATTTAATGTAAATATCTAATTGGCACGGTTAAATGTTTTTTTCTTTTGTATTTATGATTAAAAGTTACTTGTTCCAAGATAGGTCATGCTTCTAATTTTTCATTTGAGGCTATTACTTGTTAAAGGACTGAACAGGGTTATCTGATTATTGATTGATGGACAATTAGAAAAAAAAATTGAATTAAGTAGGGGAGCAGGGGGTTTATTGTAACAGTATCTTTTGGAATTAATATATCCTAAATCCTTGATTATATTTCAACGAAATAAAAGAAAAAGTAAAAAGTAAAAGTAATTCCATAACTATTCATAAGTTATTTTACAATAAATCATTTTACTTATTTATGTTTGGGCCTTTTTGTAACATCTGCAAAAATTGTCAATAAAACCACTGACAATTCAATCTTATTATCTTATTATTCAATCTTATAGCTTAGTTTTAGGGAAATAACTAAATAAGTAATTTTTCTTCACTTCTCATTAATAAACGTGAACGTTATAATTGATAAAAAAATAAAATATATAGCCTTCTAAACATCTTACAAACAATACATTCCATTGAATTTGCTTCACCTGATACACTACCCCCAAGATTGATTCGATTAATTAATGACCCAGGTGTGATTTTTTTTACTAATCAAGAAAACTACAAAATATTGCTAATACTACTACTAAATATTGCTATCACAAAATTGTAACATATCATATATTTATATATTTTACCTTATTTATAATTTCATACTTCATCAATGATATTTATGTTTTTTCTTTTTTTTTCTAGGTAAGGAATATGTTGTAAAGTGTTTGCATCTTGGCACTGCTTTTGCTGATTCGGTAAGATGAATTTTGGTATAATATTTTATTTGTGATAATTTATAACATTTATAATAGGATTTTGTTGTTTAAAATAAGTTATATCAATTGCAGATCATTTTATTCGAGTAATGGTTGGAAATTGCTTTTA